GGTTATAATTCTGCATGTTCTTTTGAAAAAGCAGAGTAATAGGGTCATGCAATCATGGTGAAATAGAAAGAGCTCTATATTAGGAATAACAGGGTCCGAGTCTGCAAACCAGCCTGGTCAATTTCTAGGACCATGACGCTGGAATCCCTTTTCTCTGAGAGTTGCTTTGAGTGGCCAGAGGTTCTATATGGTAGGGTACAGAAAGGCCTTTCTTGCTATTTTGCTGAACACACATTCCTTAGCACATCCTCTGATGGGCTCTCATATTTTGATCTCAGCTCAAAGTGTCTCCTTTGAAGGAGTTTTGAGAGCACCATAGGTAAATTAGCTTTCCTATATTCCTAACCCTTCTATTCCATGACTTTGTATTATTCATTTATATCATTTTTTGTTTTATTTTAAAAATCACTCTATTCACTTATTTATCATCTGCCTCTAGATTACAAACTTCACTAATTCCATGAAGTTAAGGATCGTATTCATTTTATTTCATCCTAGTCCAAGAATGTATTCTGAATAAAACAAACTAGTTGAAAAACTCAAAAGGCCAACCAGGCATGATGGTACATACCTGTAATCCCAGTGGCTTAGGAGGCTGAGGCAGGAGGATCACAAGTTCAAAGCCAGCCTCAGCAAAAGCAAAGCTCTCAGCAATTCTGTGAGACTATGTCTCCAAAATAAAATACAAAAATAGGACTGAGGATGTGGTTTAGTATTCAAGCGTTCCTGAATTCAATCCTCAGTACCTTCCACCCCCCCCAAAAAAAAAACCTGAAAAACAAAAACCAAAAATTCAAATGACCATTGGAGACATTGTCACTGAACATTATCGAAAGCTAAAAATGAAATTAAATACAAAAACACTCTTTAGCAACTCTGACAAAATCTATTAAACTGATCTCAGTTACTGGTACTTCCATGAGAAAGAAAAGGGATTCTCAAAGCAAACATGATTGTTTAGCATTCTCTTGTTGTTTTGGCATTTGTGAATTCCAACAAGATGGGATTATTTTGATGTAGACTCATTTTGCTTAGGAAACTAAATTAATAGGTATTTTGGCTGCCATGAAGGAGTTCTGCCTTCTTTTATTTAACAAATTAATGTCCAGGGGAAAAAAAATGACTTTGATGTCCAGAAGAGGGACGTCTTCCTGAGACTCTGAAATGTGAGATGTCAGAAGTATTTCTCCTCCACGATGGCTGGGAAAAAGAGCACGTTTATTCTCTAGGGGAACTGAAGCATAATGAAATGCAATCTAAGAACATGCAAACTTATTATCTACCAGGATGGTTGAATGGTTCCAATCAAATGGAGGATAGAAATAGGGCTTTATATTTGGATTTTGGAAAAATGACTCCACAGTTATATTTAGGCGCAACAGTGCCTGCAAATACCTGAAATAGTGGCAGTCTGTGGTTTGTTCATAACATAATGAATATATTTGCTCTTTGAAACTTATCATGGGGGGCTAGCAATAAAGCTCCCCAAAGCATTACTACTATAGATGATAAGAAAAAGTCTGCCCTGGTCTCAGTGATAGGTAGGTATTATTTTTTAATTAGCTCTTCATAGGGCTTCCCAAAGACCATTTAGCATAGGTGGACCCTGTGACTTTAGGAAAGTCAAATTTTCCTTATTTCTCCACTTTTAAAAATTGCTAAAAGGGGTACTATATCTTAATTAGCAGGAGGAATCATTTTTATGAGGATATTCTCTTTTCCAAGGTCTTCATGGATAGAAATCCTGGCACCAGAAAGATGAAATTTTTTAGAAACCCAACTTATGTCATTAAAACATATCAACTATTTCCCATTTATTTTTAGGTTAAAAACAAAAATCTGTAACATGGTCTGTGAATCTGTGGGACCTCTGGCTCTGGTCAATTGTGTAGCCTCAACTTGTATCCCAGGGACTTTATACATATTTTTCTCTCTCCGTCTAAATGTGTCTTCTTTTACCTGTCTCTGCTTAAATTCTATCTATCTTTCAGGCCACAGTCCAAATGTCAATACTTGCAGGAATTTTCCCTGACCTCTAACTAAATCAAGTTCCTTCATTCTATACTCTCATAACTCTCTGAAGCATATCTTTGTCACAGTTAGTATTAACTGTGACAGATTTTTATGACAGAGACTATGTCTGTTTAGCTCACCACTAAATGCCCAAGCATATAAGAGGTATTTAATAACTATATGATATAGGAATGAGTGAATGAAATTGGGTAATGCAATCTATGCTTGCCCAAATTTTTAAATACTTAACTATGCTGATGACATAAGCAAGTTTGTACCCTTAATATAACTAATAAGGAAAAAGAAAGATCAGTTTCATTTTATTTCATGTTTAAGAAAAAACAGGTAGATGAAGAACACATTTAGGCATGTGTATAGTCATATAAGCTCAGGTTCAAAATCTGATTCTACCACTTACGAACTGTATGTTCATGGGAAAATTACTTAAAATGTCTCTGTATTCCAGTTTCACGATCTATAAAATAGGTCAGTTGGGTTTGAGGCACTGACCCACCAATTATTAGTTGTGTAACTTGGTTTAAGTTAATAATATGCCTAAACTTTAGTTTCTATCAAGATAAAATGAGGCCAACAATATCTATATCTGTCTTTCATGGCCATGAAGATGATTAAATGTGTGTGTGTGTTTGTGTGTGTATTTACTTATAAAAACATAAAAAAGTGCCTAATCCATCTGAGTAAAACAATAGAAACAAATTAAAACAATAATATGAAATCATTTTCTATCTATTACTATGACAAAGATAAAAAATTGGCTAATATATGTTCTTGGTGACAATGTTGAGACAGACATATTCACATATGCTGTTGGTGGGTGTACAAACTGGTGAAATATTTGACCATATTTATCAAAATCCAAAATGCACACACAATTTGTTCTAGATATTCCTCCTCTAGAACTTCACACAAAGGCACAGACACACATATTCACAAAGATATATGCACAAGGATGGCAATGCAGCACTGTGACAACAGAGTCCTGGAAATAATTTTTTAAAAATTCATCAACAGGACCTGTTTAAAAAGTGAGGGCATTTGTTAAATGAAATATAGATTCATTAAAATGAACCGATACAGGGAATTATCTCCCAGTTGCATTATTTGATGAACAATCTAAAGAGCAATGCAAATTGTGTTTAAAAAGACCACTTACACAAACATCCAATTGTTTGGGCAAACAATACTTTTCTAAGCATTTGATGAAAGCTGTGGTTGCCTCTGGGGAGAAGAATGTGGGTGGGTACCTAGGGAGAGATTTATTTTTCATTATTGTATGTGTTGAATTTTTAAAATTTTACAAATGTTCCTTTATCAATTCAGTATTAATTGAAAAGCTTAGAGAATGTGAATTAAAATTTCCGGCTGCTACTACTATGATTGCTTTTCTTCCTATTATTATTAGGTCTTAAATTTGAACTGTGGCAGAGGTCTCTGGTGAAAGGTGTAGGGCAGCAGAGGGGCAGAGTGGTCACTGTGTGAAGACCTCAGAAGAGTGGGAGGATATTCCCATCCACAGGTGCCAGGAAAGAGACAGAGGAAGCTGGGATTTCTGGGAGAGAGGTGGATCCAACTCTTGGACAATAGGTGTTAGGGAGGAGCGGTGGAGGTGTACATTCATAAGAGGTAGCAGAAACAATAAAAGTCCTTTAATATGAATTCACTGAATCCTCCTAAGTATTATCTCCATGTAATTGATGAGCAAACTGAGTTTGAGTAGCCTTCCCAGGGTCATATACCAGCCATGGCAAAGCCAGCATCAGATCTGAGGACTCAGTACAGAAGCTCAGCTTTGGAGCATATTGTCTCTATGTAGTGTTTATTTTTGATTTGGTTTTAGACTCCTGGTTTCCTTGCTCAAATAAACAGTCTTTATTGGAAGTTCAGGTCCACTCTGTGCCAATGATTGCCTTTGAAGCTGTGCTTGGTGATTTCTAGAAGCTTTATTCCCTGTTTGCGGTTACCCCAGTTTCACTGCTTTCCCAGGAGAAAAGACTGCTGAGAGAATYGAGACTTAGGAGCCCTCCTAATGGTCTCCTACAGCCCTTAAAGTTTTTATTCAGGAAGGACAGGTCAGGGAAGAAACATATCTCTAGTCACCCAGCCTTGGAGCTGAATGAATAATAAACATAGTTTACGACTATGCTTACTATACTTACTCAGAATAGTTAGAAAATGACCCAAAGCTGCCAGGTCTGTTTCTGTCCCAGATGAATATATTTGGGGCAGTTCCTTTGATACCAATGGAAAAGGCAAGGGTATCGTCCATATTCAACCAAGTGCCACCCAGAGGCATTTGGAAAATTTTGAGAAATCACCCTCTCCTAGCCACACTCTGCCCTCATTCCAGAATACTCTGAAGTCCAAAAACTTTGGAAGGGGGTTAGACAGTAATTAATTAGTCTAACTAGGGACAATCACTGGGCTCATGGCTATTTTTATTTTGAAATTTTATGTTCAAARGGGTATTTAAAGACGTGAGATATTGTTCAATTATTGCACTGCAATAAAATGGTTAATTTTAGGAGCTGTGTGAGTTTGATTTGTATTTAAGATTTTTACAATCTATATATAGGTTGGTCTTTAATAACCGTTTATACATTGCTTCTTTTTATATAGGTCATGTATTCTCCAGGGAGAGTAACAAGATTAGAAATAACAAATACAGTGCAGAATAAATTAAAATGCTTCAAACTGCATTATATAATTTCAGAAAATTGGTTTCACACTGAAACGTTTAAATAAGAAAACCAAATGATTTAAGTAAAAAAAAAAAATCCCTTCGTATATGCATTTGAATTGTCATTGTTTGGCAAGTTTTGTCTTCAACAGTGTGGTACTGAAATCTTTTCACAGTACTCACTCCAGTAATGTGACAGTTCATTTGGATCAATATGGATAAAATTATTATTATTATTCTTTATTTCTGGCTATTTAGAAATGTTGGCGTCATTCTTATTGAAGATGAAAAGATGAATAGTGTTTATTAGTCAAAATGTCAAAGGACTATCATAAAAGTAATTATATTTTTATATATAATTTCTCCAAACTCTTGTATACAAAACACTTTCATTACATGCAGTGCAATAAATTCAGAGGTTGTTATGGGATAGGAGATGGCAAAATTGGGGCCAATAGTATTCTAATTACTTAGGATAGTAAAAAGTGGGGCTTGGTTTTCCTTTCACAACTAAATGAAGAAGATGTGATGCTTGAGAGAATCTATTATTCTGGCTTGTTTTGTTTGTTTCTGTGAAGTTTAGCATCACTCTTCTTGTTCTGAGTCCTCAGGCCTTTTTCAATTTTTCTATTCGTGTATTAAAGGCCTCTTCCTGTATTTGCAGCTTTTCGTTTATCTCGGTCTGTGAAGACAATCATAAAAAAGTGGTTATGATGGAGCTATCTTTCGCTGCACATTGTCTTTGTGGTTTTGACATACTATAGTGCCTAAAGACAGACATTATCCCTCACACACCTTCCTGTTTTGCAGACATAGCCGTGTTTCAGCCTGTAGTGATGTGATAACACTTTATCATATTTCTCTGCACATTCCCAATGTATAGCATGTCTACTATGAACAGGAAGTGGTATTTGGACAGCCATTTTTCACATAGCCTTGTGTTGGAAGATAGGATAATTTATCTGTATTTTCAGACAGACTTTACCAATAAGCACCGAATCAGAATAACTGCTTTGGGCTCAGTTATTGCAATGTTGTTGGTCCCTCCACCCCTTTGCAATGAATGTTTTTGTCTTCTGTGTAATGCATTCTAAATAGGATCCCAGAAAGCTTCTGTTGTGAAATAACTACACAAATAATCTCACAATTAGAACAATTCTCATAATTAAGAGTATTCATCATACATTATAACTCTTGGAATGATGCCACTTTGTGGTATATTTTTGGTAGAAAAAAGCACACAGTAGCTGACAGGTTTTAGTGATTGCTACAGCTGTGATAGCATTTAGCCTCTGGCAGTGATATTCTGTGGACTAACATTGCTACCTGCACAATTCCAGAAATACTTACACATTATCTGAACATTAGTAGCCCKGGAAATGTCTCCTTTTATCACAATGGATAATAAAATTACATACAGAGAAACCAGTGTTTGTCCACATAACAAAATTGGTGTTTTTGTTGCTGTTTGGTGATTTTAAAATATCTATGAGTGTATGAAAGAGTAGTTTGTGCAAATACATGTTAATAAAATCAAAGTTTAGTGTGTATATATATATATATATATATATATATTTAGAACATAATTTGAAATCTTTAGGGTAATTGTATTTTGTGAAACTTTTTTTTTTTTTTTAAGAAATCTGGAAGCTGGGGATATAGCTTGATGGTAGAGTGCTTGCCTAGCACGTTTGAGGCCCTGGGTTCAATCCCCCGAAAATTTTTTAAAAAAGCAAGAACTAGATAGAAAAAAAAATTAAATATCAAAACTAGTTTAGGCACTGATATAATTTTTGTATTTATTCACCTATTTATTTAGTTTTAAGAGTGTAACTATAATACATCTGAAATGGCTATCTTATTTGATGAGATTTTRCTTTTCCTTCATAGGATGACTTGCTATTTCTGACAAGATTACTTTGATGTCAACAATTCAAGATTCAGAATTAACATGAAGATCAGTCTTTCTTGGTTTAAGATTTTTAAGCTCTGGGATCAAGATTTGGACTCTGCTGTCTTATCTTTTCCTTTATTAGTGGTTGCGTAGTAGAGGAAAGGAATGATCCTTCAAGTTACAAAGGAATTATTATTTTTCAGGATTCACTAAATCTCCTCATGCATAATTTCAGTAGAGTTGAAGGGAACATTAGTCTATCAGAGGGGAGACCTAGGTACTAGTTTAGATAYGTAACACTGAGCAAGTCATTTAACCACTCTGGCTATTAGTCCTTTTGTGAAAAATTAGGTAGGAGAATAAGATTTTATTGACATTTTATCCTAGCTTTAAATTCATGATTCTAACTCCCAATTTTGTGATATACTTCACAAATGGCATATTTCATTGATATMTTGTTATAAAATATTTTAAACATTTGTTACTCCCACTTCATTAAAGTAAATTTGTGGGACAGAACATATTGGATCATGTAGGGGTTGAAATGGTTTGAAGAAATAATCTTGTCACAATTCCAAAAGAATAGGAAGGATTTTTCCATCCAAGCAGTTCATTCTTTGCACTTTCATTAATGTTCTATGCCCACCAATAATCTCAGACAAGTACAAGCCAACATTCAATGTAAGATGGACTGTCTTCTACCAGCTTCTTTTTCACTACCTCACCTAGAGCTTTTTCAGGTATTTCAATGAGACAGACTTTACCAAAACAAGTATAGACCTTGGGGAAAAGATTCATGAAGGTGCACCTGTCAGAGTGGTGCACTACCTGGAGAGTAACCTTTAAGATCTCCAGACTTGGTGATCAGTACTAGTATCATAAGTTTGAGCATAACCAGCAGAGCCAGGATCAAAAGATTCCATGTCAGGTCAAGGACAGGCTTTCATTGGTCTGCCATGTTTCCTTGTTATTTCTCAGAACACTGATAAACAGATAGCTATYCCACAACCACTAGGGTTGGGTCTGGTTCTGTTTCCTTTAGGAAAGAATGTACAACCTATGGCCTCAGTTCAACAGTCTTTGGCCCCTACATTTTGGTTTGGATTTTTGCTGTCTCCCAAAAGCTCAATGTGAGATAATGCAAGAATGTTCAGAGGTGAAATGATTAGATTATGAGAGAGATTTTGAGATCACAACCCACTGATGAGGTTACAGCTAATCAGTGGAATGATCCACTTGAATGGATTAACTGGGTGGTAACTGTAGGCAGGTAGGGCATGGTTGGAGGAAGTAGGTTACTGGGGATGTGCCTTTGAGGTTATATTTTGTCCCTGCTGACAGAGCTCTCTCTGTTTTCTGGATCATGAACTGAGGATGTTCCCTCTGCCATACTCCATGATATTCTGCCTCAGCTGGGCCYCAGAGTTAAGTAGTTGGCTCATCATGGACTGAACCTCTAAAATCATGAGYCAAAATGAGCCTTTACTCCTCTATGTTGTTCTTGTCAGGTCTATTAGTCATAGCAATACAAAGCTAACYAAAACAACTACTTTCAGGTGATCTCACTCAACTTTCTTAACCTGGAAAATTCAAAGTTGACCTAAAGATGTCCTTAGACATTTTTAAGAAATACTTAGAGTTCTCTCTTAAGTGTGGCAGACTTCCCTCAAGGTTTTATGTTATTTTACCCTATTGCTAAGACAGGGCCAACAGCCAACATTCAATGTTAAGAATTTAGTGTTAGCATTCATATTTCTCTGAAATGTAATTCTTTAAATATATTAAAGTTTAYTCCATTGGGTGTAATTTTTATTATATAACTCAGGGCCAAAATAATTTCATTTTGAATGTATCTTTAAAATTAAAGTACCTAAACTATGTAGGCTTAAAATGTTTGCTCTATTCAGTATTATTTTAATTAACATCTGAGGGCCAAGATAACTTCATTCTTAATAAATCTCTAAAACCATAAAGTGAGTCAATGGGAAAATAAGTGGATCAACATAAAAAAGTAAAGAGTCATGCTACATTTTCCGAAATTTATATATTAGATGAATTTTGTTACCATACTAGAGAATAAGCTCTGAAAAAACTGTGTTAAAAACATGAGTTCTCTACTGCCTTTTTCTGCAAATACTGTAAAAACAGTATGACTTTTAAGTAAAGATGGAGAAAAAAAATCATGGGAAAATTGAAAACATCTTACAAGTAACAATTCACTAAATATTTGTACAGCAGGTTTGTTCAGAAGGGATATATAATATACACCAATCATTGACACACCAATCATTGACAACCCTTTGAAAAGGGTTGTGGCAGTTTTTAGAACCAGGGGACACTGGAAGTCAAGYTTTAGAAGCGGAAAATAACTGACCTATCTGAAACAGAAGGAGAAATTTAGGTGAGCRAAAGGTAATTACCCAACTTGGAATTTGACCAAGACACAAGTGTAAACATTGAAAAAGTATCACCCCACAAGTGTATTAAAATCCAAACTATTCTGGCCATGATATTAAATATTATGTGGTTTTTGTGGATAACATTGGAATTAGGACTAGAATCCAGCTCCCATTCAGGACCTTTCATCAGTTGTCGACCCTGGAAACTAAGGACAAATGACTTATCTTTCTGTGCCTCATTTTCTATTTTACCTGGTCACTTACATTGAGTTTATAAGGATTATTGAAAGAAAATACATAAAGGGGTTGGCTATCTTGAGACATTGTATAAATCCACATCATCCTGCCATTTCATTGAAAAATTGGCACTAATTTGGCCCATGCTGACATCCACAGATCCACTTATTATGGAAATAATCCTGGTACCTGAAGGAGCTGCATCTCTCTCCTCTGGTCCAGATTCTCTCTGTGCCTAATTACATTGAGGTGAGCAAGCTAATGAACTTCTGGATGGCTTCAGGCCAATGGGAAGATAATGTGTACAGCAATCGTATTCTTTCTGTTACAGAGTAGAGGTATAAATGCCCCAGACTCTAATATTGAAAAAAATGTCAGCAAATAGTTAAAAACATACTGTTCACAACATGGAACATGACCTTGGTAAAGATGTTTTCAATTTTTGGGGGCTGCACACAATTCTATTGCTTTCTAGTAGTTCCTCAGCAATAATTTCAGAGCCGCAGGATTGCAAAGGAGCCCAGGGCCATGATTATACATAAACTATATTTAGATGAAATGTTATCAAATCTAAAGAGGAGATATGTTCTGAACTCAGCTTAATTCAACTGYACTCTGCCCTTGCACACAGTAACCAGTTATTACATTCATGGGGTTGTTAACAATAAAGCTTTGTGTAAAACGTGTTCTTCCACTATTTCTGGTAAACACTAAACACCCCTTATTAAGCTGAGGACTTTGGCTGATTCTGTTGGCACCAAATCATTAAATGTTCGTGTAAATAGTGCAATAACATTTGATGATTAAACAAGTAACAAAGTATGCTTATGCCAAGCTAATCTTTTGCTCTTTTTAAATTAGTTGTTAATAGTATGTGCTTTTTATATATGATATCAAGTTCAGATAACAACTAAGTCTTCCCCTGAGATGCATTAGTATTTTAAATATGCACTGTGTTGTCCTGCTGATTTATGGCCACTTCTAAGAAATTRCAAATTCACTCAAAAATATGCAATTTACTTATTTAATCGTGTGGCCTGGAGAATTATGAGAATTCCTGTAAATCTTTAATGTTAGGTAAAAATGGTTGTTTGTTGGGGCAGAATTAGAAATAACTAAGCATAAAGCTAAGCTGGCTGATAGATCACTGTGGCTACTGGGATATTGTAGCTGTTAATACCATTTCATATAACTGTTGGTATAAATAATACTAGCGATATGTGAAAAGAAACAAACTATCTGAGAGTGATTTTAAAGACATTTTAGAAAGCTGGTGAGAAGACTTAGTTAAGAATGATGATTTGATCTTCAGTGTATACTATTTAGAAATGTACAATTACTCTTGCATATGCAATGTTTACAGTGTAGCAATGCTCAGAGTTTTTTTTTTTTTGTTGTTGTTGTTAGAGAGAGAGAGAGAATTTTTTAATATTTATTTTGTTTTAGTTTTCGGCAGACACAACATCTTTGTTGGTATGTGGTGCTGAGGATCAAACCCGGGACGCACACATGCCAGGSGAGCACGCTACCGCTTGAGCCACATCCCCAGCCCMATGCTCAGAGTTTTTACCTTTCTTTTAAATTTCCATGTTGAATGATTTTGCAAACTGACAACCCACACCATAATAGATGCTATAGGCAAATCTATGTTGTGATCTTGTTGACTTAACTGAGAATTATGTGCAGATGTTCAATTGAACGTCATCATAAGTATTACTCTTGATGGCACAGTGTTGACAGGGTTTACAGATGCTGAGTTTGACTAATTAATCAATAATAAGGTAATTAAATATACTATCAATACTGAGTACCTGAATGCCTTTTAAAATGTCTTCTGTGACTTGAGCCAGGACTGATTTTACATCTTCAATGGTGAAGCCAACTAAAGGATCCATGTCTGAAGTGTCAGATTCTGACTGGGAGTGCTCAGGGCCTTGTTCTTGATCCAACCCCTAGAATATTGAAAGCAAATAACATTGAAGAGATTTCTAGAGTATTCTGAGATTTATATAGAGCCTTCAGCTTCGATTGGGTGATATTCTATCAGGAATGATGTTTTGAGTTGACATTATTCTGCATTTTCATTATTCATGGGGGAYTACAGCAGATCCAGTCATGGTGCCAATCGGTACCCACTTTTGGGAAAGTGAAGGTAGAGGTTAAGGAACAAAGGGTGGAAGATTTTAAAATTGCCCAAACACAGTCACTTGGCCCATCTTTGAATTGCTATAAGGAATATTTATGTCTGGCTGAGAAAAATCAGAGGCCAAGAAAATGGAAGAACATTTGTTCTTTCTCCCTGATCCCTGAGGTGGGGTGAATGAAAAGACAAAGGGAACCTACCTTCATTTCCATATCTGAGGTGGAGGGTGGCTCTATGAATGTTGAATGAATATCAAATGAGATTCCTTCCACCAGAGGCTCTGGGAATGGGTGGACWGAAGTCTTGACAACCTCTATCACTTGCTGGAGAGGAAGAGAAGAGCTAAAGTATGACAGTCTTCAGTGAATAACAACAATTTCAGCCAGTTCCCTTATGTATCTGCCTTACTTCCAAGTCTGGTATATTTTAAGTGCTTATCGCTTCTAATTTTTTTCTTTTTTTTCTTTTTTTTTGTACCAGATTTTGATCCCAGGGGCACTTAACCACTAAGCCATATCCCCAGCGCTTTTTAATATTTTATTTAGAGACAGGGCCTCACTGAGTTACTTGGGGCCTTGCTCAGTTGCTGAGGCTGGCTTTGAACTCACAATCCTCCTGCCTCAGACTCCAGAGCCAATGGGATTACAGGCGTGTACCACTGTGACCGGCTCTTCTGCATTTTTGATGTCACTGCCCTCTTGGTTATTTGTTGCCTTTGAACTCCATCTCTCTCAACTACTGTCAACTGGTATTTTCTTTTCCCATTCTTTTTCTACACACAATGGTATAGAATTTCATATTGTATTGCTTTGGCCTTTGTCTCAAGCCTCAGCCCCTTACTCCTGCCTACAAGCTCTCTGTAGGTAGAGAACCAAGTTTTAGAGCCCATGTATATCTTCTCCAGTGCTTATTACATCCAGTAACAGCCTGGAGGTGATTGATATGACTCAGCAGAATGAAGCTGTTCTTGTGGGGAGCATTGGAGTAGCCATCAAGAACCTGGTAACTAGGAGACCACTCTGGAAAGATTAATATGTAAAGCCAGAAAGATTTACTGAAACACAGAGGGCAGGACAAGATTTCACCAACATCAGCTGAAAATTCTTTAGCAAGAGTGTGTCAGTGGGAGGGAGCCTGATAGTCACCATTAAAAGGGAAGAAAAAAGAGAGTCAACTTTGGCGGTGCCTAATCCACCAGAACTTGAAGAGCAAGACGAGATGAAGTATTCGCATCTGTTCTTTATGTTCTGATTCCATGTTTAACATGCAGCATTTTGACCATAATTTGATTTCCCATCTCATTTGATCTGTGAAGACKTGCCCACTTGAGTGTTTTGGTTTTCATGCCTTTTACACTCCTCATTGTAAATCAATAAATGGTTCTAGTTTATATGGTAAATTCTCATGAGCTTGTGAGTGCAGTTCTGAGAAGTACCTCACTGTATGCTGACAAGTTTGAAGACAAAACTTTGAGAATATATGAATTCACCAAATAATTACCATTTTCTGGAGCTTAGAAAAAATCACGAAATATTATATGTTCATTTCTAAATTCATAATACTTCAAATAAACGTATATGTTATGTTTCATCATTTAAATATTAATATTTTATTTAGAAAAGTTTCAGAATGTACTGGAAATGAAATTATTTCTTGGCYGTACCAATTTGTAGGTATTTTGCAATGAATTTGTATTATTAATTTTAACTTGAGTTTATAGGAAGTGGCTGCTTAATGTCGTCAAATGGAAGCACCAAAGTCTCCTAACTTTATAGGCACTGAGATTTGGAAATGAAGAGGTTAAACGATTGGTCTAAGGTCAAATACTTATTCAGTGACAGGGCTGGGACTTAAACCCTGGTGTATTGACCCCTTGGCCTATGCAGTTTTCAGTAAACAACATCAAGTTGCCATACTTGGAAGTTATTGATATTATTAAGCACTTTAATTTTCATTCTGATTGTTAGGTGATGTCATTCCAGGTTGTTTATCTTAAGTTGACTAAATGTTAATCAAAACARAATATTGAGACGTGGCATATGTCTGTAATCCCATGGCTGGGAGGCTGAGGCAAGAGGATCAAAAGATAAGGGCYAGCCTTAGCAACTTAACAAGGCCCTGAGCCACTTAGTAAGAACTTATCTCAAAATAAAAAATAAAAAGGGCTGGGGATGTGGCTCAGTGGTTAAGCACCCCGGGTTTGATTCCTGGTACCAAACAAACAAAAAACTCAGAATACTGAAAAAAAAATTTAAGAATAGTTATTTTTTTCTCATCACATTCATAAAACCATTGCTTTTCTAAGTAGGTCATACAAAGGTTTCCATCTTCTCACAAAATTATTTGCACCTCTTTCTACCACWCTTGGTTTGTATTCTCCTACATCTTCCATTGCTCTTTATTTTCCCAAGCTAGGGAAAGGTCACAGCTAGTCACCTTTTAATGTCTTTAGAAATATTACAGGTAAAATAAACAAGCTGAATGTCGCAATCAGAAGCAATAGAAGACGATGAGGTATTTACTTAGGSGTGTAGACTTTAATATTCAGTAAGAAACTGAAAGTTTGGGGTGCTAGGTTTGGTGGGTGAGTCATTGAAAAGAAGAAAACTGTAGTTTATTGAATTTACTGCAGGCACATAGCTCTGCAAGGTGAAAATGTTTTCTTTTAATGAAGCAGAATTTTGTCTGCTATGATCATATTTGTCTTACTGCTTGCTTTGTTTTTCTATTCACAGTTCAGGACTTTCTGCTAATGTGCCCTCCCCTGGTGAAGTTCTTAATAGATAGCCTCTCCATTCTGGTAACAGCAGATTCTACCATCTGCCCTTTAGTGCCCCTTTCCCATCAGGTTATACACTTAAATGCAAATGGATATTTGAGTTCAAGTCTCTCATTTTATCCCTCATAACCCTGTGATCTAGATTTCTTTATACGGTTCATCTGAACTACTTGTCAGCTACCCAGTTTTCTGGTTTTTGGCATGTGTGTGCGTGAGTGTGTGTGTGTGTGTGTGTGTGTGTGTGTGTACTGGGCACACACTTAGAAACTTGGCACTTCACAGCTCCACATCATCATTTCTTTGGTAGAGTGAAGCTCCCATTTATTCTGAGAAGCTCAAGTTCTAAATGACAGTGGGCTTTTCTTTTCCTTTTTCCTTTTTTTTTTTTTATGAGTGTAGCTTATGTAACTATGAGATCAATTTAATTTGTGTACAAAAACTGGGGGTGAGAATTACTTTTCTTCAGGCGTTTTGCATACTATTGATAAACCGAATCACAGCTGTTTTTCTCTTTTATGAAGACTTACATTTAGCAGTTAGTGAGTTACTATAAGGAAAAGAAATATCTCAATTTTAGTTKAAGGTAGAAATAAAATTTTCATTAATAATAGGAAGTTAACTTTCAAATACATAGTGTGAAATAAACAATGCCCAGAAGCATCACGGTGATTTTTTCCCCATTAAAAAATGGCAGCCTTTTTTTAAACAAGTTTAGGGAAAATTAGAATCAATAATTGTGTGAGAACACAAAGCCAGCAAATATGGTTAAGAGAAACCGTCTGATGCAATACTTTCTTAAAAAAAAAAATACAATTAGGTCTTTGTATTTTTTTTTTTAACAAAACCTCATGTTTTACAACATCACTGGTTCTGTAATAAAATCTATTTAAAACAGAGAGACATGGTCAGCTTTATTAAGTTAGATTTTTTGAAAGAACGTTATAATTTCCTCAAGTCTATGAATAGTTGAAGCAAATTAAATAAAGCTAGTTTTATAACTATTTTTATACATTCCTGTAGAATTGTAATTGTCTCATATTTTTTTCCTCAAAAGTCTAATATGTTACCTCTTAAATCTGGAAAAATAAAAACAGAAAAAGGATCAAGCAAGTTTATTAAAAAAACACTCCTATTTGGTACCCTGACTTAGCAACCCCCACCTTTTCCATGAGAATAGCACCCATAATATTCAGATCAGGAAACAAAGGGAAGGACTTTAAGTGACTTGCCTGGGGCCTAATGCTGAGATTAAAAATCAGGAGTTTCTGATTATACACATATATCCATTTGGCCAAATGATTGGTTTTGCTTGACTTTCAAATACCCCCTAAATATTACTTTGAATGTAAAGCAATAAATGTGTTTCTCTTGCCATTTTGAATGCTTGCACACAAATGGATATAATAAAAACAATCATGTTGTTCCATGTGAATGCCATTTATATTTTTTCTGATAATGAGCAGAACATTTGAACCAAGGTGAGTACATTAAAATCTCTAATAAAGAAGAGAATAGATTTCTAAACAGAATAATGGACTGTTAAGTGAACATACGATAAATAACATCTACAGATGTGGTCACTAGAAAATTAGTTTTGCATAACTTACCAATATACATTTCCCCCAGATGTTATCTGTTATATGAAAATTAAGTTAGCTGTATTGTTCATTACGTGCACATTGCATTAGTGTTATTTAAGACAGTTTACAATCTGCACTTTAGTTGAATTGTACTATGGTATTTAAGAGATATCAAGAGAATGRCTATTGGCACAGTTTAATATTCAAAAGTACAAAATTTTATTGTCAAACATCATTTATCTTTTTAAAAATGCAAGATCTTTACTTACAAGCCAAATGAAATTACTAGAAATCCTTTAAAAATGTGTRTATTCAATATGAATTGGATATCTACTATGAGAATAAATACTAAGAATTTTGACCTCCCTTGGAAATAAGTACAGGTCAGTTTGGGTTTAAAAACCTACTTTTTGGAATTAGATTGTGCTTCTAGTTCTTATAGCATCTGAATAGTATAAAGATTTTTTATCTCCATGCTGTATTACTTCATGCTTTCCTTTTCTATGTTATGTGTTAATATTACCAGGAATATGAGTTCAGATTTATTGCTTTCTTCAGTAATGCTTCTTTGGTGAAAGTGTAGGTGATTTGTTGGTAATGTTTATACCACTAAAATCTATAATTAAGGTGGTACTTGTTACATTATTAAAATATATTATTAAATTATTTAACATATTAAAAAGGCCATTGAGATTACAACTTTCCAGTATTTTGAATGGCAGAAAGCAAGATAAGTCTGTTCAGTCCTTTTTGAGCCACCAGGCACACAGACAAAAAAGTGGATTTGCTTTGAAAAGACATTTGTTTGGAATTGTCAGAGGATGACTTCATATGTAAATCAGAACTTACTAAAATATGTCAAAGTTTCAAAAGCAAACTTTTATTGCCAACTTTCCCCACTATTAACTAAGTGAAAAAGGCACAAAAATTCCAGTAATATTTTAACTATTTTCCCCCTTGAAGA